GAGCCAGCAGGAAGGTTGCTCCTTCCACCCCTGTCTGGCTGAAAATACTTCAGTCCTGGAGAGTCTCTGGGACCTGATATTTAAATCCCAGACAGCCCATTAGCAGAACCACCAACCTGACTGACAGGGCACCTCCTTAAAAGGCCAGAAAATCCTGTTAAAGCTGCTGAAAGGAAAAACAAAACTAAGGAAACTCTGCTGAGCAACACAAAGAACGTGAGTGAACAAAGCTGAAATGGTCTGGGTTCTACAACACACTCGGTCTGTGCTATGGACACTCCTCACCTCATACCAGGAGACACCTTCAGAGCCACAAGATGGGAAAAAATTGAGAAAAAACACAAAAACAAAACAAAGAAAAGGGGAGTCAGCATAAAAGGAAGCTAGAACTGAAAGGCTGGAAGTGTGAGAGGCAGATGGGTCCCAACCCTCCCCAGTGCCATCCAGAAAGGTTACCTGCCGCGAGGATGAGGAAGCACCTGCTCCCAAGGCCTGCCAGCGTGGTTCATAGGTGATGTGGATGGCCTTCCCAGGGATGAGACAAAGGAGCAGAGAGAGGAGAGCGGGTAACCCAGACTTGGAGGGCAGAGGAAGAGACAGACAGTGAAGGAAAAGGTTTAGAGAGACAGGTAAGAAAAGAAGGTAAAAAACATGAAAAAAACTCCAGAAGATACAGAGAAAGGCTCAGGTTCTTCCTTCCAGGGAACAAAGCGTGCTGGGCCACAAACCCTGGACATCACACACAACCCTGGACATCACACACAAGCCTGGACATCACAGGGCCACAAGCCACACCTTTGACTTCAGCTTGAGGTACAAAAAGGGAACAGGAATTCTGTTGGATTTAGGCTCAGTTTAACACTATTTTTCCACCGAGCATCGACTCTCTGAATGCCAAATTCCCTTTTGTCACCTCTCACATTAAGGAATTTGAGAGATGGAAGTTAACAAATTAATCAAAAAACACCCCACCTTTGATAAATAAATTAGTCACTTCAGAAGCTGTAACCCTGGGATTTTAAACCCCAGGATATCTGCACCACGTGGAAGTTGTCTACACCAAGAAATGACAGGTCCAGATCTTTAACAAGCAAATCCCTTACAAGAGCTAATATTTCTCTAAAGGTTGTCAACATGAGCTTTGCTGAGATGGAGCCAAGAACAGCAAAATTAACTTCCTAGTAGGTAAAAGTTGTCTCTGCCTCTCTACTTACTGTAGGCAGAGGGCAACTTCTACAGGGTAGTCAGTGGTTCCCCAAACCAGGCTCTCAGTTTGGAACTCCTCTGTTCTGACTGGAGGAATGGTCAGCATTGGAAGAGGTCACAGGATCTTAAAAATATTAAAACATTTTTCTTCCTGGACCTCAGAGCAGCTTCTAGCTGATTGTATTTGACTCCAACTTCCAGTCTATCTGGACTGTTCCCTACTTGACCAAGAGAAACCAGAGCATCATGCCTTCGCAGTTACTGAGCTGATTTTTACCTCTGGTTTGCTTTCTCTCCTGGCCTTTGTTCCTCTCTGCCTGTGAGCAAAGTTAAAGATCTTCATCTCTTGCTGTGACTGCTGTCTCAGGACAATGGCTACAGCCAATGCTGCCTGAAGCATTTCACCTAAACTCTAGCAACAAGAGCACTGCACAGAGGCTGACAAGGCACATTCATTGAATCCACAGCCAAAAGCAGAGGTTACCAGTGTTGCCAGCACAGTCCTGTCTGGTGACAATATTAATTTCACAAGTGGCCCTTCTGCACATGTTCTCACATAAGCCAAGTGACCAGGTACCTCCGTGTTCCCTCAATAATTCTTCATGACAGAGGCCACAGGTCCCAGAATAAAAAACAAAAACAAAAACCAAAACACTAGGAGACATACTCCCCTACCACATTCTCACTCATTTTCATTCTTCCTGACCAAGTGCCATAAACTGCCTCCTTTTTGCTCCCCAAGACAGCTGTGTACACATCTGGCTAGTGGAAAGTTCCCACATGAAAAGGTCCTGCTAGCAGGAAGAAGCATTACTCACACCCATGGTCACAGCAGGTGGGGGACTATCAAAGGATCACCGAAGGGAATTAAACAGGGTTTGTTTGAAAGATATTCACAAATGCTTTGCTTCTCTGACCAGTTCCTTCCACTGAGGAAGGAATTAAATATAATTAATTAAATATATGCTCTGCAAAGAAGAGGAAGAACAGTGACAAGCCCAGGAATGTAGAACAAGTGATGGAAGCTACAAGTTGATGGAGTGATCCTGGTGTCCAAGCCAAACTAGATAGAGAGAAGAAAGAGCAGCAAATCATGCCAGAGCAGGTAGTGGACTCAACTGCCAAGATGCAGCAAACAACTGGCTTCTGCTCAGCAACTCCTGACACATCCACTCTCAGCACTGGTAACTCCTGGACCTGTCCCTGCCCTCCAGGAATCCCTCAACGACTTCCTCTAGCAGTTGCCCTGACGTAGTCTTCAACATGCTTCCCAGAAGAGGAAACCTCCACAACTGGAAACCTCCAGAGCCTGCCTCAGCACAAATTTAGGGAACAAGCCAGATTACTGCACACGCAGCTTCTCCCAACACTGAAACCACAGAGCTCTCCAGGAAGCCTGAGTCAGAAGCTGCACAGGTCCCTGAGCACAGTGACAGCAGTGGCTCTGAGGCCGATGCAGTGAATGGTCCTCACCCACCTCTCTGCACTCATGACTGACTGGCTCTGGAGTCACGTTCTGGTTGGCAGCTGTGATCATTGCACTGCTGGTGCTCTTGTTTCGCCCGTGGCCCTTCCTGAAAACAGCTTTAGAAGGGCTCTGGAGCTGAGGATGCAGCTCCCGGTTTGGAGAGGAAGGTGTGGATGTGATTACCAATGTCTTCAGAGCTGTTACCTCTGCCTGCAGCATGTCAATCTGAGGAGACAAGGCAAGAGTCAACAAGCACCTTCAGCACCTGCTGAGCTTGAGTTTACTGCACCCCACCAAACACTAAAGACGTAGGTAACCAGCTACAAACCCAGTCATGAAGCCTTCTCCCCATTCTCCCAAAGACCCACCATCACCCAGAATTTTAAAGAGGGTTAAAGAGCAGCTATTTGGGAACCCATCCCTCTGCTTCTCAGTCTGAGCACATTTTGCTCGGGGTTCTTTTTAGACCAAATAACCCAGAAGAAATTTCTCCCTCCTCAAGAAGGAACCCGTTGAGCAGCCCCGTGAAGCAGCCTCGTCAGGGAATTCCAACTCCCCATTTCCCTGCTCTATCCATCCCCACAGCTGTGGCAACTAAGCAGCACATCCCTTCTCCGTGGTTCCCCTGGCATCCCTTTCTCAAAGGGGAGCTGGATCAGCAGCAGACTGCAAGGATACCTCTTCCCCCTCACTCAGTGTCTGCTGGAGAGCGAACAGAGCAAATGCAGCATTTCAGAGACCGAGCTGCAGGCGCTTTGCTCTCCTCCAGCCAATAAAGAGCACTATGTCCAGGCTGGGTAAAGGATGGCACCAACCTAACACAGAGATCAAGTCACAGAGAGTGCAGTTCTCACCTTCCCCCGTGCCTCCCTCAGCTGTTTCTCTGACGCCGCCTGTTTAGTGTTTGCTTCTCTCACCATCTTGTGCGCTTCCTGGACCAGAAAGAATTTTAGTCTGCCTGTTGTAATCCCAATTCATAAAGCCACCGGGGCAGGTCAGAAGCTCTGCCATATCACACACTCTGGGCAAGCAAGCCAGGGTACAGATATCACTGTTATATCCAAGGGTTTTATTCTGTCAGCTGAGAAGAGTTTTCCCTCAGAATTTCCCAGAGAAGGTTCTCAATGCCAGAGCCTGGAGTGCATCCTCGTTCTAGGAGTGTAGCTGGCTAAATTAAAGAGTTTAGCTGGCTGAGTCCAAGGTCACCTCTTTCACTGATAAGGGCTACTGTGAAGAAAGCCAGAAGCAAGGGCCTGTCCTTCTGTGCCCTTGGGAATTGCTTTAAAGCTGAGGCTTTTACAATGGCACCCAGCTGTGTTACATCACAGCTGTGTCTGCACCCAGCCCAATACCTCTGCGACTCTGACCCAGACCCAGACTCCCTACCTTGACCTCAGGCCTGCATTATCACTGCAGACTTACTGCTTGATCACCAGACTGTTTTCTGACCCTGACTGCTTGTCTGTGGCACTGATCCTGATCCAGACTCGCTGCTCCATGTCTTGGGTCCTCACTGGTGAGGTCACTGCTTTTGCCTGACTTGTTACTGCACTTTGCTCCCACTTCTCCTGCGGACTGGCCAGCCCTCACTGCTCTGAGCATGGCTGAACACAGCAGGAGCTGTAGCTCAGGTAGGGGCCAAATGGTAGAGGCTAACTTAAAAGCAGCTCCCACAGGAAAAGGGGAGTGGTGTGAGTCCCAGCTGGGGCCTCCCCACAGTGCTGTCTGGAATAGAGTCTGTCCAAGGCCACCAAAGGAAGGGGACAGCCCTCAGCTACCTTATCTCTAAGCTCAGCCAAATCTCCAGGAGGGGGGATGCTCTCTGGGCCCTCACACTCAGTACCAGCCTGTGTTTCAAAGATACAGATGGGCTCTGCCTTTCCTCACTGTCCAGTCAGATCCAGACATTAGAGCTGCTGGTAAATGGGATTTTGCCAGGATAGAACTTGGCAAGAATCACATTACAAAAAAAACAAACCAAAACAAAAAAAAACAACCAACAGGCTTCAGTGGAGCAGAGGATATGAGGACATCCAGCTTGTTCCCACCCCAAGCAAGGGCTAACACAAGCCAGGGAATCATCTCTATTACACAGCAGCTGCTGCCCAGGCTACAGATCAGGCACTGGAGAGGGACAGGGAGCTATGCTTAGCTCCAGCTACAGGCATCCCCACATAGGGTTTTGCTACCAGATGTACAGACCCATAACTTACTTTGCTCTTTATGCCACCCCACAGCTGCTAGAAGGGGAAAGAAATGCATGTAAACACTCCCCAGGAGCAGGTACAAGCCCCTGCTCTGAGGCTCTGCCTGCAGCACTGCCCAGCTCTGCTTCTCCAAGTGGGAAAGAACATGGGAAAGGAGGAAACTGTGGGAGGAGATGGCTGGAAGTTCAGGGAAAGCCTGTCTTAAAGAAGATGGATATAAGCTCAGCTTAAGAAATGATGGGAAAAGGAAGAGGGTGGTACCTCAAACAGGCTAGCTGTTAACTCCTCTAGTTCCTGCTCCAGTTGCTCTCTGACTTTTGACAATCTCTCACATTCTTTGTCCTTCAGTTTCAGCTCCTGTTGAGGAAATGCAGAGGGACATGTGAGCTCACAGCAGACATCGGTAGTGCTGACCCCTGCCTGCCCTCCTGTCAATCACAACCTTTCCTCCCCACCATGGCATGGGTCCCCAGAACAAGACTCCTGTTGCTAAACTCTGTACCACACTCCGTGTCACCAAAGGCATCCATCCCTCCACAAGCTGTAGCAGGGCTTTTCAGGCTGGAATTGCTCATTTGTCATCAGCAAGCACTGCCTGCCTCAAGCTGCTTCCTGCAGAAGGTTTCCAGGACTAATTTGGATGTTGGCACAGAGGCTTTGGGTCAAAATAGCAACTGATGTCCTGCTCCAAAGCACTTTATGGCCACCTCACCTCCATCTCTCTCCTCTTCTGCCTGCTCCAGAGCCACACTCAGCACCACATCTATGAAAACCCCCACTGCTCAAGTCTGCACCACCATCCTCAGGTGTTCTCACAAACTCTGGGCCTTACCTTTTGTGCTCTGTGCAGCTCTTCCTTCAGGAATTCAGACCCCTTTTCACGGATCTCCACTGAAGAGCTGCGTAGACGTGACACATTGAGCTGCTCGGTGGACTGGGTCTCATCCACACCTCCAGCATTCTGGCATCCAGTCTCTGGCTCCTCCTTACTGCCTTTGGATGGCATTAGTGTCTTCCAGTGTCCCACAGCTGGTTGCTTCTGGCTGTCTTCCTCAAAATTGCCTTTGCTGTGGGATAACAACAGAGTGAAACTTTATATGGGGGCAATTCACAGCCTTCCTCTAACGTTCACAACCCATCCACCTCCAGCCCCAGTGGCAATCAAACCATGAGGCCCAACTACTGACAGGCCTTCTCCTTGGCTATGCCACCTGGCAACAGCATGGTGCTACCATCTTTTCTACTGAAATTGCTCCCTTTCTCCTGCCCCCAAAGCTGTCCATGAGCAACAGTTGCCCATAGTCATCTTCCAAAGATGGCAAGAAGCAGCAGCTACCAACTCATTCAGCTCAGGTACCACAGGAAAGTGTATGGAGAAGCACATGTGGAAAACTCTCTGAACCCTGGGAAGATGAAGGGCATAGGATCATCCCTGATGCCATGCCATGCCATGCCATGCCATGCCAACTGGACAGCAGTTTGACTGCAGAACTGGGGGATGGGGACATGAAGTTGGTATCACAGATTTTGCTGACCTCTCTGTTGAGCAAGAACAAGGGAAAGCACCGGCAGGATGGTCACACAGTGGTGTTAAAAAGGTAGGAAAGGATCAAAATTAACTAGTGTCCTATTGACTTCACCTGGCTTTAGGGAACATTCACTGGGAAGATCTAGAAAAAGAGGCTCATCCTGGTGATACCGCTAAATTTGGAAGTATGGAAAATAACATAAAAGGTTGCACTGGGGAAAGGGCAAGGAAATAAAGTTAGTTTTGGCCAGAGGAAAAAGGACAGGCAGTGCCTCCAAGGAAAGAGAATTCATCTTGAGCTATTCAGCATGCTGGGACTGCTTGATAAAAAGCAATATGCACAAACACGGAGGGGATACGCCTGACTGAGCGAGCCACGACCAACGGGAACTCCCAGACTGGGCAGGCATCTCCGGTCTGAGGCGTGAGAGAGCACACAAGTGCAAACTACACGGTGTTCAGAGCGTGCAGTGCCTGCTCCATCCAGTCAGGTTGCTCTCTTGGCACGTCTGGTTAATCAGAGGAATGGTAGAACTGCACAGAAGAAATCAAATGGTTAAGAAAGGTCAAGATGAGCCAACATGGATGACTCACCTAAATAGGGACATCGCTAAGGAGGTCTCCAAAGGCTTCAAACACTAAGGAAGAGGAGGGATCAAGCAAGAGAATGACCCAAAGGAAGGAATGAAACCCACTACAGGAAGGTGGCGAGGTAATGAGACCAATTCATCCCCACCACAGAGATCAGAGGAGGTTCTCTGCAATGGATTTACCACGGAGCAGGGGAAGCTTGCCAAACAGAGGGGTCTGTTCCACGGTTACACCACTGCTCAGGTAGCATAGTGGAAGCCCTCTCTGCTGGGGACTTTTGAGATCAAACAGGGTAAGTTGCAGAGAACACATCTCTCCAGGTTCTCCTGCATTAGAGAGGAAACACACCAGAAGGGCTCCAGCCAGTTGGAGAACCTCCAGATCTTCTGTGATCAGGACAAAAAAAGAGTGGAGAGGAAAAGCAAAACCAAGCAGCTGGCAAAAAAATAAAGCACCAAGGAAAAGGGGCATTTCAACAGTCCACTAAACTACTCACAGATAATCCAACCCATATAGATCAGGAATGGAAAAAATGTTGTTTCTTTATAACTCTCAAGTTCTCAGATGAAAATTGTTTGTCTTGGGAGACAGGTATTCCAGGGTATTTCCACATGCTATGGAAGAAAACTGAAGGATACGGAGGACTGCAACAGTCCCACCCACACTCCATAATGCCAAGGGACCTAAAAATCTATCCCAAAAAATCATCCCATCTTCTATAATGGAACAGCACATTCTCCACACTGTGCAAACAGAATCCCTGTGAAATCCTTGGCTTCTGCCCAACCAAACCCCAATCTCCAGTGTCCAGCTGGGGCTTTGCAGCACACCCCCTCCCAGAGACCCACGGACCACCACGTACACTCACACGCTCTTGCTGCTGCTGGTTTGACTGGTGGCTTTCTTGGAAAAATGTATCATATCCTCAAGGTTCCACACTGATACAAGAAATGCAAACTTATACAAAAAAAAAACAAACCAACCCAACCCCAACACCCCACAACCTTCTAAAGTTGGATTCTGTAGAAAAAGCAAAAAAATGTGCAGGATCCGCACTTTTTCCAGCGGGCCCCACATGTTTCCTGCAGTGCTGATCTGACAGGGTTATTTCCCGTACAAACAGCCTGTGGGTTAAACTCTTGCCTTCAGGCTTGTGAGGAAGGAGGACCTGATTTTTCCATCCCCATCAGGACAGAAGCTTGTCTGTTGCCGTTGTGCACTGCCACAAAGCAGCACCAGTGCACAGCCTGCTCACCAGCTCTCCAAAAGCTTTTGGTCTGTTCTCATCC